TTATTTTTAATAACTACTTATATATATATATAGTTATTAGTAAGAAGATAAGTATAATGCTTAGCTCTTATACTCTAATATACTAGCTTAAGCTGTTTTTAGACTATCTAGCACCGCTTATAGCGATAAGAAGCTAGTAGGAATGTAGTAAAAATAGCGACAATAAGACGTTATGTAATAGTATACTAAAGTGCTGCTAAAGCAGGCGTTAACGTATCGTATTTGTCACAAGCGCATCCGGCCGATAAGGCATTTAACGCATACAAGGCAGCCAAAATGTCCGCTTACGTGCTCAGCGGCAGTCTGGTAGAAAATTGCACTTTCGAATTGCACTTTCGGTGACCGAACGACCTGTTCCTGCTTACATCATACTAGCGTAACAAATTCTCTCACCCCTCGATGGCGTTTTCCGATTGGCCTCCCGCTTCCCCCGAAGACCCTGACATGCGCCTCTGCTACTAGCCTACACCAGCCTGCATCTATATCTGCACCTACCTGGACCCACTCCTCCCCCCCCCCCACGTCGCCTACATGCACCCAAGACCTCCTGAACATTCCTTCCTTCACCCTTGATCGCCGAACAGCATCCATGCTGACGACTCGGAACCATCTCAAGTGCCGGGTTGCTCCTATCTTGCATGTTCCAGGCTAGTTGTATAAGTACATAGTACTTACTTAATCACATCAGTCTAACACCACGTACACGCCCCATAAAAGCTCCACTCGCCAGCCCTGCTAGCACTCTGGAAATCCCCGCGTTGGCTTGGCTTAGCACCCAGCGTGTCCACTGAGTAGTAGACTCTAGCTGCGCTCATGGACCCTGTCAGCGTACGGGTAAAGTGTGCGTAAGGACTGTACGTACGTAGCTGGAAGCAAATGACCACCAGCCTGCAACCACAGACAACCTTGGCTAGCCCGCTCGCAACATGCGAAAGACACTGTGCATGCGGCTCTAATGCATTACAAACCCTCCGACCAACGTAGCGAACCGGCCAAGAGGTGAAGCCCTGAGCGCCACAGCCTGTGATACGAAAAGTCATGGCGTTATGTTGTGACCAGGAAGAAAAACGGGCCGCGGTAGCACGTCAAACTAAGGCCTCAGAGCTCTTAGCGAGGCCTAGGGAGGCCTACCGACATGTGGTCCTAGAGTCACCTTGGGATCTCAAGCGCGGGGGATCCACCTTGTACTCGGTCTCCCCTTCTGTCAGCAGCCACCAACAATAAGCACCTAGATTGTCAATTCCCAGGGAATGGCTAAAACGGCAGCCGCTAGCGTCCGAACCGCCTATCCTTGATCAAGCGGCTCGCGGGCTTGCCTATCAAGTCTGAATGTCCGACATTTTTATGAATGTTTCATTCAGCGATTAGTGCTACTACTAGTACCATATCGGTATTGGTCGTAGTACCATCGTTCGCACCCATTTATTCACCGACGCCCCAAATTTCAAGTTGTAAAGATTTTACGAAGGAAACAAATCCGAGCTGGCAACTTCCTTCAGCGCTATTTGTATTTGGAAATGATAGACTGGATAGACGAGATCAGCTGCCCATCATGTTCGGAACTTTACACTGCAACTCGCCTACTAAGGAGGCAGAGTTTGTCGAGAGGCCATATGGGTCCCTTAACCCAGGAATGAACTCGGCCTGTGACCGATGCAGAGCATACAAGGTAAGACTACCATGGCTTGGAACATACCATTCAAGCAACATACCCTTTCAGTATCTGGTTTACTGACGCGTCGAGCAATTCGTATAGGTCAAATGCACTGTCAGTGGAAAAAGTTGTAGTCGATGCCGGCGTTTAAAGAAGACATGCAGTTTCACATCAGTGAGGCAAAGAAGTAGCCAGCGAGTATGCAAGACAGACGTCAACCCCAAACACCAGGAATCACAATCATCGGACAGGCCTGCCCAACCGCAGACATCACCGAGCCCTAAAGACAGCGGAAACGAGGGAGAATATTATATAAAGCAACGAGGCTCTATATCATCAGGCCTCACAGACGGAAATGACGGCAGCGAGAAGGGGGATACACAAATTGGAGACTACACATCACACCAGCTCTCTGAAGCATCATCATCAACATCAACATCCAGCCTACCATTCCTCGCCGATTACGACCAACAAGACGATCTCTGCACGTGTAGTATCCTGCCCTTCCCATTCTGTTCGTCAAGCGTACACTACAACAGTCCAGGCGCTATGGCACGGTCCAACATCGGAACTCCCCAGGCCCTTCCCACACCCCCGGCCTCGAGAGACGAAACCCCACAACAACAGCTACCCAACAGCCAGTCACACGACCCACAATTCGATATGGGCCCCATCGACACAGAATCGCTCAACATCTCCGCCCTCGCAGCCTCAATGTGCTGGTCGCAAGGCTCATTTGAAAAACCCTGCCAATGCCTCGCCGACGTCATCTTCGCCCTCGAAAAATTAGAAGCAAGCTGCAGTTCAGGAAGCAGGGCAGGACTCGACTCTATTGTTGCCAACCAGAAAGAAGTCATTGAGCTCTGCCGCTGCATGCTCAAGTGCAGCAATTGCATGGCCAAGCGCGAAAACTTCGTACTCCTCGTATTCATGAGTGAGCGTATAGTCGTAGCATGCAGTCGCATCGTGACAATGTACTGCATGGAAGACGGGGGTCTGCGAAACAACACGCACAACCGTGCCGACACTACTACGGTCGTACCCTCGCAGCTCGCCTGTCTACCCGGCTTACATCTCTCCGGTACAACGACGGACATGGACATGGATAGCCAGTGCCTCACAGTAGCTGCCGCATCAGCGGCGTCGTCCTCGCCGTCGCGGCCGACGACACCAGGCTGGCAGCAACTGCTCCTCGGAGACTACAAGATCAACTCAGCACTCGAGTGGGACCATCTGGTCCGCGCGCTCATAAACTTCCAGCTCAGGGCCATCAAAGCCCTATTGGGCGATGTCAAAAGCATAGGCACCATGATCCTAGGGGATGCGCAGAAGGAGTCTCTAGCCCATGCTGAAGCAATCATCCACAAGTTAGAACAAGACATATACATAATCTAGCGCTCTTTTTAGATTTACGAATCGCAGATTGTTTAACGTGTTTTACAAGCGAGTCGCCCGTACAAGCGAG